TAAGATTAAGATTGCATCAGTTTCTATAGATTTCAGGAAAGGACCCATACGAATTAGCAGGTTCTCTATCAGTTTTTATATTACCTCACAGGGTACTTAATTGACTCGAATCGAATGAAAAATGAGCAATCGTAAATTGGGATTTTTTTTTATTTCTCCATTTTTATCAATTTTTATATGAGGGCAAAGTGTGTTAAATAAAAGCAAAGCTTTAGATAAGCGCGCCTTAAAATACCTGTAATGCAAAAGTGCTTTTATTTCTTTCTATCTCTAATTATTTTGATCAGTATTTCGTCTGCGTTCGGTATGTTTTTTTTTAATTTCGCAACTTTATTTTCCTCTAAATTATTTATAATGTTAATATGTTTTCGCCACAAGTTGTGTTAAAGAATGATAGACAAGATACATAGAGAATAATACATACCCTTTTCCATATCACATCCTGTATCAGCCCGAGACACAAAATCTTTAAAATATCAGCCAGGGGATCTCCCATGTGAAATTTAGGGTAACTGTTTTATTATATTTATTACATACTCTCTTGTGTAGTAATAAAATACAGAACACATATAAGTTGAGAAGAAAATATAGAAAATAATCATGGAAAAAAAAAGGACTTCAGAAAATGTAAAATTCTTTTGCCTTATAAAAATTTAGGTTTTGTTTATGTACTATAAAACTTTTTAAAAATTGTCCCCAATTTTTATTTTTCCGTAAATTGAAAATAATCTATTGTATTTGTAAATTAAAATTAACCTATATTTTCAAAAAGTTAAAAAAATAAAGAGAATATGAACCAACCAAAAATTGTCAAAAGTATGATCACAAGTACTGTTTTTTGTGGTTTAATTTACTGTAGTGTGATATTGACAATCACAATAGCAGAATCATACCATCTTTCTGCAGGGCTATATGGATTTGCAGGGTCTGATAGAAATTCACTTTTATCAGACCACTACACTGTTCAGAAAACTATTTAATATAAATGATCTCTGCCAAGATTGATTGGCTATTGTGAAATATTGTTTAACCATATCGCATATGCAAAAAACCTGTATTTATTACTAAGTAACTATGTAGAGAGAGAGAGAGAGAGAGAGAGAGAGATTTCGTTGCTGCCACTGGAATGTAGAATGTAAGAGCAAAGATCTTTTTTATTTAATATTATAGTTTGTGAAAGAAGACAAGCCTAGTTGTTGTTTTTTCGTTTCAATTTTTACAACTGCAGTAAATTTTTGTTGGAATTGCGAATTGTGATGCTTACATGGTTGAGAAGGCTAGGCATTATAACGTTCGGCATATTCAGAGGAAATTATTGTGAAACCAGTAGAAGTGAGATATGAATAAGAAAAGCGAGGAGAGAAGGTAATATATTTAGCACAGAAGTATTAAAGAGGTGATAGAAAATAAAGTGAAGGGTACAGACTGCTTTTAAATGGTAAGCTTAGAAATTGTGTTGAAGAGCAAAGTTTAGTTATCCCGAATACGTTCGAGGTATCGAATACTCATTACAATAGGAACTAGTTTTCGGAACGGGTGTAGTGCACGGATTTACAGATCCTCCAATTGTATACCGTACCATTAATAACATAAATTATTATAGAAAACAAAGAAAAGACAAGAAAAGGTATCTCATGAAAATAATACATAATAATTGCTGTAATTAATATTAATCCCTGGTATTGATAATATTACTTCATGCTCAGATAGAAATAGAGGAAAATTTCATTTATACTTTTCTAATGTTTCCCCTATATCCCTTTAAAAGAAACCCTTGTGATACACGTTGCATTTTGGTTGCAGGTGCGCACTGAATACGGAATCTTTTGTACTAAGTTGATTTAATTGTTTGAACTGTGTCCTGTCACCGTGTTCCCAAGAACGCAGATCAGTTACTTCGTTCAAATACAATTTACAGAGTTCTGTATACACGACTTTAGATACGTGTACCAAAGTAAGATGTAATATAGTTGTGTTCCGAATATTTTTGAAGAAAAAGAACGTTGATCAAATAACAAAAATTTAGACAAAACTGGATGAGATTGACTTAAGAGAACAATTAAGAGAAATGTTAGAAAAAATTAATTGTACGCCAAGCTCCTTTAATGTAAGAAGGTTCTTTCTTATAATGGTTTCTGCTGTACACCCGAGGTACGACAGAGTATGAAAGATTTTTTTTCTTCAAAAAATTAAATTAAATATCTTAAATAAAAGAGGGTGAGCTAACTTTTTTTTTACATATATCTAAGTATTTATATTTCCCATGGAAATGAAATTGATGATAATAAATACAATCGATATAATGATTTTTTTTTAAAGACATACATGTAAAAAAGCAAAATAAAGAATAAGTACACTTGTTCTAATTGAAAATATTTTTTTAACTTAACGTCAAAAGGACAAACTCAGCACAAATGTGATTTAACAATGGTTTCTAGCGTACAACCGCTTGTCCTGCAACAGTGGAGGGTACACTTGATCTTTAAGGTCTTAATAGACATTTCCAGCTAAGAGCGCCACGAGCTCGGACTCGTACTCTGTATTTCGATACATAAGGGGCCGTATAAAGATTTTTTATAAAGGATTATAAAGGTATATACTAAGTATGACGTATCTGAACTAAAAAAATAAAACTCGAGATTAAACAAAGATTAAGATAATATTTGCTATCTAAATTTTAAAATAAAATCAACGATTTTGAACCCAAATATCATCCCATATCTCTATACATGTAAGTTAAATTGATTTTAAACTGTTTTTGAAATGGTATTTTTATCCGAAAAAGAATTGATTAAAAATAGAACACAATTACATTCGCTTGATATGTATTTTGATAATGATCGGAAACACTTATATTATGTAATTTCAGAATTAGAATGAACTTTGAAGTCGATTGAACTTGAACTGGTTTTTGCTGTATAGGTGAGTGTTTACATTTATTGTCATAATAAAAAAAATCCTTTAAAGTTATAACATCAAAGTCTGCAAAATTTGAATACATGTGTAGTATGAAAGATATTTTTTTTAAAGATAGATTAAATATCTTAAATAAATTAAATTGAGCTTTTTTTAAACATATTTCTAAATCCTTATATTTCCCATGGATATGAAATTGATGATAAATAATATCATCCGTATAATGAATTTTTTTAAAGATATACATGTAAAAAGAAAAATAAAAGATAAATTCACGTGTCTAATTGATAAATATTTTGAAATAACTGTCAGAGTCAGTGTGTGAGTACAATGGTTTTTGGCGTACAAACGCTTGTCCTGCAAAATCTGGAAATGTCTATTTAAAACATCTGTAATTTTTTCTACAACGTAAAGACATGAATCGACGATCAATCATTTATTGAAGTCTCAACCTGTCACAAAAATGCTAAGATACTAGAATGTTGTTTTTTTTTTTTTAAAGGGCATGTTATTACAGGCATAATTTCCTTTTTAAAGGTTTCAGCAAGAGATACATGTACTGATAATTCTTATTAATCGTGATTTCGCATCTCTAGTTTCCTAGAGTTCGGGAAATTGTAAATACGAATAAATGAGCTAGGACACTAACATGTCAGTGATGGAATCGACTTGCAGGAAATTGTTTTGCCTCAATTCGGAAAAGGAAGTACTAAACAAGCTATTATGATTTTTTTTCTTTTCAGTTTGTTTAACTGTCATGTAGAGCTTAAAATAATTAGGCAAATTTCAGGGGCAGAGTGTCTGAATATATTGGTAATGTCTAAGCGCATTTTACTCGTTTTGACATTATTCATCCTAAGTGTATCATCTTCGTACGGTAAGGTCTTTCGTATATGTATAGTGCAATTGTTTCATCTCTATTACTTTATTATTTAAAAATCAAATGTTATAAATTGACATTGTTTTGTGATTTTTTTTTTATTATCATTATAAAGTGAGGGTTCATGTATAAATGATATATACACAAAAGGCTTCCTTACATCTAACGTAAGATATCTGTTACGTCTGATTTAAAAAAAAAACTCTTAAAACGACTAAGTAAATAAATAAGACTTTTCCAAACTGGAATGATATTCATTTTGTAATTATGTTAGAAAGCATTTTCTTTGTATCCAATGCCATTACTTTTTGTTTATAAATAACGCAGATAGATTAAAAACTCTGAGATATGCTTTTTGACTTTATTTAAGTGAACATCGCATATAAACGACCAGCATGGCAAAAAACAACGCACCCTTCCAATTTTGGGCCTGAAAAAGCAGTGGATGGCCTTAAATCTGACTTGTCTGCAAATGGTCATCAGTGTAGTATATCTAAAAATAAGCAAAGGATAGCTTCTTGGCGAGTCAACCTACTTGGAATAAAGTTTATCCATCATGTAGTTATATACTACCGAACAGACAACAAAATTTGGGGTACAGCTGTAATACGTTTCATTTGTAGTGGCATATACAAAAAAACATTATTGTTGATTTTTGAAAATAGAATTTACTTTTAGCAATAAACAATTATTGATTGTAGAGAGAGAGAGAACATTTACATGACATTGTATATTTGTATATTTCAGATGAAAATAATTCTTTACGTGGAAGGTTTCTGGGATTTTCCGTCTACATTTCTAATACTGAAAATAAGGATGATGGAAGATTATGTTTCCATGACACTGAGTACAACATGACAACGATACCAGCTGTCGTAAACATCACGTGCGAATTATACGGCCAGTATGTTATCTATTATAACGAAAGAAATGCTGATACACTGTACCCGCCTGGTTATTCTACATTTGCTTACAATGAGCTGTGCGAAGTAGAAGTTTATGGTAAAAAATAAGTATTTCTAAAGTTAATTTACTCATATAATTGATCGTAATATTACAATTCTAATTAATAATTATCTCGGTGGATCATTCAAACTCAAAAATCATTTCTCAATACAAATATGAAGCAGAACAAACACGGGCCTCAAAAACAACTGAAGAGGGATCAGATGCCATGGAGGAATGGGCATCCCCTGCTACGCCAATTGTCATGATAGCGATAAAAGGCATGATTCATAGACATTTCTGTAGGCCTTTCAACTGACGCTAGGGTTTGATAAAAGGAACAATAACAAATTACTAGAACCTGTTTTCAGCATGTCCTGAGAAGCTTATTGTTTTAAAGCATTTCTTGCTTTTGAATTTTCCAAATGTTAACGTTTCTTCACTGTCAGAGCCAGAGCAAACCAGTTGTATAAAACTGTGCAAAAATCTTTAACTTATTTATAGTATAGTTACCATAACCTCATAATATAAAAAAAGTGGAATTTATGTAGATATTATTGTGCTTTGTAATTAGGTCACGTAATGACGTACAACGATGACAAAATAGTAAAAGTATACAGAGAGAAAAAAGTAATACCACACAGAAAAAAATACGTCAGCCATTCTTTATCAAATTATCTTATTTCATAGAAAATATTACGGGAATCACAATGTTCTTTTTTTCGTAGATTGACTTAGTTTTCAATTCACACATACAAATTTTGGAGATAGATGTACATTTCTAATTAAAAATATTTTTTTTATCGAATGATTAGGTACATAATCCAAATCATAGATTAAAAAGTCTGATCCTAAATAATACCAGTAGCTATAAAATCAAATTTTGATAAATTTAGTGTGTGCATGAGTTAAGGATTGGGGAGGGGGGTATTGACAATAATGTTAACTTAATATAGCACATTGGAAAATAATGTGTACACTAGTTTTTGATTAACAGGATGTGCTCTAGGATTTTATGGCGAAAATTGTTCTCTTCCTTGTCCAACCCATTGCCAGAATTGTAACACAGAAACAGGTGCCTGTTTGTGTTGCGATACACAGGCGAAAATTGTGACTTCCGTACGTTTCTATGAAATAAGCTTATCTTGTTATGAATAACTGAGGTATTTTTTTTTCTGTGTGGCATTAGTTTTTGCTTTGTACACTTTTCACAATTGTATCATTGGAAATTTTTCACAGCTCAATTACGTGACCTAACTACACAGTACGATACCATCTACGGAAACACTTACCCTACTTAGCAATGTGCATGTTAATTAGTACACAAGATGTACAAAATTAGCAAGTAATTTTTTTTATTTACAATGAAAACAAGTATTTAATACAGCTTTTGGATGATCAATTTAACTATAGAGAATAGAGAACAAGGCCTTTGTGCACAGGTTTTACCATGTCAGCAGTACTAGGGAAGTCTCTACGTTTACACTCATCTCTCTTGTATACGTTTAGATAATGCCTCACCATGGACTCTTGATGCGATTCTGTTTTTAAAATCAACTTCAGTAACAATGAGATAATTTGTTTGACATATTTTTTAAATACTTATATACATCCCTCTTTAGATTGTGATCCGGGAACTTTTGGTGCCCGCTTCGCCTAAAGAAAATTAAACGTCTCTAAAATTATTTTTATACGTATCACTATCGCTCTTTAGATTGTGCTTCGGGAACCTTTGGAGCAAATTGCACAAGACAATGTGGGCACTGTGCCGGGTACTGTGACCATAGATACGGCAATTGTTCTGGAGGGTGTACACCAGGGTTTAAAGGAATAATGTGCAATGAAGGTCAGTTTATTTTAAAAAAGACAATTATAATTTTCTGTTGAGATATTGTCATTAAAAATAAGAAATAAAAAACATATTTTTTTTATATTTTGAGTCTGTGAACTGGGGAAGTTCGGAGAAAATTGCAATCAAAGCTGTGGAATGTGTAAAGGAGAGTGTATGCATGTAAATGGAATGTGTTCTGGAGGATGCCAACCCGGGTACGAGGGAGATTTTTGCGAAAAAGGTACCGGTATTTGTTTCTTTTAATGACGTCCGCCATCAAATGTTCGAGACAGTGACTGGCCTATTGTCATATTTCCATTCCCCTCTGTCTAGCCGCAGAACTGTAGCTCTCCGAAAAAATATATATTGATAGACCGTAGAGCTACAGTGCCACCCATTGAAAAAAAACTGTTTATTTATTGCGCACAAAAAATGCGCTGTTTTTTCGGTTTATTTCTCCATGTTTTTCAAACTGTCATCTAAAAATATTACGAATTGTGTGTTCCTAACATATTCTTTCACGGTTTCCACAACAAAACATTCCTTATAATTGTATTCTGGCCCTGAAATCAGGATCATCGAATATTTCCCTATTTATACTACCATTTTGGTTTGCAAGATAATTCGGTCCAACGCGCTTCGTAGAGATGTAAACTACGAATGTAATTGACAGATAATTAAGGTCTTTTATTGAAATCTAACTTTTTTGCAATTGAAGTAAGAATTTAGAAGAATTAATCTGGAACCTAGCGCACGTTTTTGTGCGCAATAAATGTACAGTTTTTTCAATGGGTGGCACTGTAGCTCTCCGGTCTATCAATATATATTTTTTCGGAGAGTTTCAGTTCTGCAGCTTTAGTCTGTCTAGATGTAGAACCTTATTCTAAGTAAACGCAACATAGTCGAAACCTGATCTTCCATACAATTTTAAGTATTTCTGAATCAATTATGGATTATTGCTTTGATAATTTTTGTAAGTGTTTCTTTAAGATAAGAATTATTATTCTTTTTATAGTCATAAATGCGTTATTACTAAATCAACATATTAACAAAATTGTTTTCAGTGCGCCAAAACAAAATTAAACCTCCCAATTTCGCTTAAGTTTTAATCGATTGCGATTGCAAAAAGTGATTGAACTGCCCCCCCCCCCCCAAAAAAAAAAAGAAAAACAAATGCCTTGGTCTTATCACATATCTTTACACATATTATAGTATTACTTAGAAATACAGTTATTAATACCTCAACCTTTGCTATATTAAAGTTTTCTTTTAAAATAAATTGTCGATAGGTTTTACCGTTATTTCCTGATCATATCAAACAAAACATGGCGGGTATGACCGGTCGATGCTCACTCCCACATGGCACTTAATCAAACCTATGATTTTAAAAGGTCCTTGTTAAATCTGGCCCAAAATTTGTATTGATTAATGGAATTTTGTTATCTCCATATACCTCTACAAATAATTTCATTGAAGATGTAATATTATCTCTTAAGAAGAGGTTTCTAAAAAGGTGAAAAAAAAAATGAAAAATTTGTTTCAATTATAAAAACTTGATGAACCGATTTATATTTAAGCCTTTTTTTTAACAATTTTTAGTTAAGGAAATTATAATTAAGCCATTCAGGTAATTACTGGGTTTTTTTTAATCCTGATTGGGTCAAAATAGAGCAGGAAACTATTATTTATACACAGCCATTGGGAACTTTGATTATTTTGCAACATTTTGGGGGGAATAAACTTCTCTCGGAAAAATTTCAATTAATGTTGAAAAGATTATCCTTGTATAACTACGAAATGTTTATGTACATTTTTCGTATTCCACTGTTACTCATCTCAAGCGTTTCATCGGAATACGGTAAGGCATATCTATTCAAAACATCAATTGCAGCAAATTTCATGAAGTTGTTCATTTTTCGTTGAATATTATTGATTGATATACTAAAAAATTCACAGCATTGTGGATTTCACAAGCAGCAAATATGTCGATTTATATTATTGTACAAGTCCAGTTTTCCTTTTTGAGGTATATTATCTTTTTAAACTGCAAGAAGGTGTATGCCTAAATTGCTTTTATTGAGAAAAGTTTCAATAGATAAATGACTTTGGATTTAATGGTACAGATATGCATGCTTTTTCTTTAATTATTTACTAATAATAAAATACTTTAAATGTAATATTATAATATAATAATAGTTTTTTAGAGGTTAAATGTGATTGGAGTGTCCATCCTGAAGTACTCTTTATGATACTCAACACTTTTCTTCAGCCTTTTCTAATTTCTATAAACTTTCACAAAATTTATATTAAATTGTTTCATTGAGCACTTTCCTATATTACATTTCCATTAAACATATATTTGAGTTTCACTTGCACAACATGTTAATGACAGCTCTCATACCAACATATTGAGAGTCCATCGTTTTACTATACAAAAGTCACATGAAATTTTTTCATTGGTACTAGAAAAAAAATGGGAGAAAATGTTGCCCCCTCATTATTATACGTACGAAGCATTGCAAAATCTATATTTTTGCAAGTGAAACTCAAATATATGTTTAATGGAAACGTAATGAACTCACAGTTCTTCTTGAGGGGGAAGTATTTATTAAATTAATTTTGAACATGTGTACTTGTATACAAGGGGTGATCAAAAAGTTTGAGAACTAATTGAATAACTTCCATAAAACAAATGAAATTTGGTTTCAGTGTTCATTAGCTCTCTCCAATTGTAATGATTATCTACCACCGTTCTGTTCATTCGCAAATCACGTGATCCAGGTGGTCGCGTGATATGTTCATCAGCATTCTGTTCATAGACACATATATTTTTCGAGTCTTCAATTTATTCACATGCAAGTTTTTTTTTTAAAAAAAGAAGAATGTATTCGTTAGAAATGACCAAAGCTTGGAAAAAGGATTGTTGGATAAAATGAAAGAGCATCATGACCATCACAAGCCGAGTTTCCTCTTATAGGGACGTCAATTGTCGAATATTTAAATATTATGGCGCCTTCTTATCATATCTAATATGTTAAGGGGAATTCAGCAATTCTTTTAAATATTCGACTATTGTTATACATGTAGCTGTCACCTCGTGATATTTCATAACAAATTGCCTAACAAAGGACGCATCTTTTTCCAAACTTGCTTTCACTGGGCTACAAAACAAACGTCATTTTTAACCATTTTCCTTCCTTCACTTAAACAATCATTCCAATTTATAGCTGAAGGTCTGGTAAGTCTTATGTCTTCATAAACCTTGTATAAATTATTAAATGGCACTTCACAGATTTTTTTAAGTTTATGTTAAAGCTCACAGCCGTTCGTTGCTTGTTTTTCGTTCAAAGTCATCGACATATTGACGTCATTTTCACATTGTAACGTCACAATGACAGAGATAAACATTACTTATAATATGCTGTTTATAGAACGTGTGTATGGCTCTATGTGTGCCAAATTTCATTCTGATTCAAATTGTGGTTTTGTAGATATAAATATAGTTCGTGAATATTTTGATCCCCCTCGTATATTCAAGCTTCATCATAACATTGAAGATATTAAACACACACATACACAATATATATGTATGTATAACCCATTACATTCAGGTATGAACCTTCTCATTTTTAGTGAATCTTGCCTATAATCAACCAACCTGGCAGAAAGCAAGTCATCCGGCGGATTTTGGACCCGAAAAAGCAGTGGATGGTTTAAAATCCGATTTATCAGCACGAGGACATCAGTGTACGGTATCTGCTGACACAGAAAGGGTAGCTATTTGGCGAGTCAAACTAGCGATGTACAGCTTTATTCGTAATGTAGTAATATACTACAGAACCAACAATATTGAGTGGGGTACGGTCATCATATATCTAGCATTTATCTTACATTTTTGACACTGTGTTTTTTTTTTTTTAAAGTTATTTTAACCTTGTCTGTTTTATACCTACATCTCCTTATAGGCTTGTAATTAGTTTTAATTTCATAACTATTTCATGTAATACGAGCTTTCTAGAACCATTCTCAGATAAGTGTTTTCTTATCATGGAATGCCATTTTCGTACATAAAAACTATTGACAATCCTACATTTAAATCTATAAGATTCTACCCTCCCTAAAGTCAATATATATGTACCTACGTGGGTTGTTCGAAAAGTTCGTTGACTTTTGTCGTATATTTTTTTTTAATTTGACAGCATATGTTATTTAAATTTGGTAGACATATTTTAACAATTAATGAAGAACATATTCGCGAAGCGGATTTAAAAAAGTGTAAACTGACCCTAACCAGATTATAATCGAATAATTTGGCCAAGAATTAGAGTCATTCCTTATAATTTAATTTTAAAATAATTAAAGAACTGTGGGTGTAAAATTGTGTTGCTTTTTATGAGTTCAAATTTGCCGCTCAATAATACATCCCTAGTAACGGAAGTGATATGAAACAAGGGGAGGTTATAACTGATACGCAGAACTAGCAGTCATGATGTTTTGTTTTCACGAGGTGAGATCGAGCTACTGTTTGAAGTTAAAGGTACATGTACATATATTAAATCTGGAATTTCCCATAAATCCCAAGGACAGGAAATGAGGAGATTGTATGGATACAGATTATTAAGCTGGTTGTCAAGGGGAGGGGGGTGTCCCCATACCAAACCAGGATATCATGAAATTATTTGCGTTCCTTTTTTGGAAATCAACCAATGACTAGAATACAAACAAAATTAAATAATTCCAAATTATTTGTATTCAATTTTCTAAATGTCACGAATTATTCAAATCTTATTAAGATCTTAAAAACGCAAAAATCGTATCGCGGTTCAGGTCAAAATTTAGTAGGTAATTACAAACAACATACTGAATAATGACTGTAGTCATATTTTATGTAAAATGGAGCAAAAGATGTGTGAAATGTATAGGGATAATATTTTAAAAAATTCTTGACGCTATGTTTTGACGTTACGTTGTCGTTAAGTGTGCTCCAAGGGTACAAAACATGTTGATTTTAAAATGAAGTAAATTGATTTCTATTAAATCGAATGGAACTTCACACATCTACAACACAAAAATGTTTACATATTATATTGTTCTTATGTTAAATTTCTAGAGGGAAATTTAACAAAGATTGACATCGTCCTTGAACTCTTCGAACAACCCTTGTACATTAGTGTTTTAAGGGTAAAAATTATTTTTCTAATTGTAGGAGAAAACAATGCTTTTGCAGGAAGGTTTCTGGGATTCTCTATTTATATATCTGATAGTGAGAGTAAGGAAAATGGTACTTTATGTTTTCATGATACTGAAAATAATAGGACAACAATACCAGCTGTAGTAAATATCACATGCGAATTATACGGCCAGTATGTTATTTATTATAACGAAAGGAGTGCTGACACAGTGTACCCGCCTGGGTATTCTACATATGCTTACAATGAACTGTGCGAGTTGGAGGTTTACGGTAAGAATCATAATTATGTGTGATATTTATAATATGTTATCTAGAATATAAATCACTAGCATTATCTGTCAAATCAATATTGAACGAGAAACATATTGACGCGAGCGTCAAAAATCGGCAGTAAACCAATTAATTGTTCCTTTCATGAAGCAATTAGAAACTCAAATGCGTGATCTGTTTTTGAAATATTTCATGTTTATCTGGTGATATATTCACGTGACATTTAACACTTGCATTTCACATTGCAGGATTTTCTTCATACATAACTACATCTGTACCCATTGACACTCAGTTTCCTTCAAACACACTCTAGCTGAAGTTTGATGTTTAAGTATCTTTTACATTAAAATTTCAAAACTTTAGTTTAAACTTATCCATAACTAGAAGTACATGAAGTTTTAAAACGCAACAAATATGTGGGGCTCCTCGCTCTCTCACAGAGAATTTTAAACCGCACAAAACTCCCTCTAGATCCGCCACTTCTTGTCTTATCTTTCAGTTTCTTTGTTTTGCTGTTGAGATGTGGCGGGAATATGCTTGGCAAATTTTTAACGGCGCTCTGAGGTGCATTTGAACATTCAATGATTTTCAATGTTTAAAACTTATTGATATCACAGAGACTTTCTGTAGAAGTACTTTTTTCCGTGTGGTACAAATGTACGCTATACACGCAGTCACAAATTTTCCGCGAAAATCTGTCCAAGCGTACTTAACGTAAATGTAAGGCACATACGGACAGACTAAGAAATTTGCTTAATTTTCTACCCATGGATTAAACAGAATTTGAGATTCCGCGGAATTATGAACCCATAGAAAAAAGTACATGTACGTTTACAGTATTTAACATGAAAGGTAGATTCATGATGTTACAGAAAAAAAGTATCTAAATGGAAACAAATTATTCTTAATACATGCAAACGAAAATCTTTAAAATATGCCCTTTTCTATTTCTTCCCATTGCAATGGAACAATTGAAAACATTTTTTGTGCTTTTTATTCTTCCTTTCAATTTAAAGGATGTCCACTTGGTTATTATGGCCCAAACTGTTCCCAGCCCTGTCCAACACATTGTGAGAAATGTAACATAGAAACTGGTGACTGTGTATGGTGTGATCTGGGGTACTCTGGGGAAAACTGTGATTTCCGTACGTTTTGATTAGATATTTTGAACTTTAAAAAAAGATGTTATATGGTAATTATTAAATTAATGATAAATCAAATACTTCCTTAACAATTATTAAGAATTTTTTTTTTTGATTTGGAATCAATTTAGACAAAAATAAGGGGAAAATATGACTTGTACAATTTTAAATTTTGTTATGAATGCTTTAAAATGTTGTTTTGTGATTTTACCGAATTATGCTTCAACACTCAATGAAACCTCTCTGTTAATATTTAATTCAAATGTTTCTTCAGCTTGTTCATTAGGAACGTTTGGAAGTAACTGTACAAGTGAATGTGGAGAATGTGTTGGATACTGTGACCAAAGATATGGGAATTGTTCTGAGTGTAAGGCAGGCTTCACAGGAATCAGGTGCAATGAAGGTCAATCAATATTCAACTTGTTGATTTCGAGAGTTTTAAATAGGCAAAGAGTAAATTCGGACTACTGCACTTTCGTGCATTATAACAATAGGTTCTCACAATCCCTTAAAAACTATTATGTAAGATACAATTTACTAAGAGTTATATTTTCATATCTGTGATAATGTCGCTGAACGAAAAAAGTAAGCAAAACGTAACATTTTTTTTAAATTTTTTGACTTAGTCTAGTTCATCAAAATTTCGATAACCTAAAATTCAGGTTTAAATGTTTTTAAACGAGCATTTTAGACATAATCAAACAACCGTTTTATCATTGTTTTGATTCAATGTTTAGTTCTCAATACATTCAATTTACAAAGATTGGGTTCATTAGGTTTATGATTTTTCTATAATTTACAACTTTATCTGGCCTTTTTAAAAAGATTTTTTCGCAAGATTACTGATTATCATAAAGGAAACATTTTTTATAGTGTGTGAAGAGGGGATGTTTGGTAAAAATTGCAATCAAAGCTGTGGGATGTGTAAAGGGGAATGCTTCCATATCAATGGAACATGTACAAGAGGATGCCAATCTGGGTATCAGGGAGAAATGTGCAATGAAGGTAGTTGGAACAATCTTTGTACATGTTAATGATTATAAATTTTCTTTTAATCAATTAAACTTAGACGTTTGATCCATTCCATTTTCTTTCTCCTTACGTTTTGTTGTCTTCTATTTTTCTCTACGTTTGTCTACAAACAGAAAGGTCCTTGAATAGTTGGAAATCATAATATATTATAAGAATCTCTTCAACGGAACATGATGACATATTTAGAAAAAAATATATATAAACTCAGGATTATTTACATTTTTTTGATATGCGAAAGTTAACATTACGATTTTTTTTTCAATTCTCTATATATCGATTTGAACAAAAAGAATATTTCCAGCAGTGTAAACTTTTTTTTAAATTTTTCTACAAAACCTGTAAGATGATATTAAACAAAAATTCATGGTTACCCACCTAGGTCTCCTCCTTATTTAGCACATGGGAGCATAAAGTAATGTTAAGCTGTACATGACAGTTTAGATCTTTGCACTATAGGGGTTCATTTATTAAGGCTACAATAACCTAAGTTCTAATTGAATACTTTATGTTGATTTTAATTTTGTAGATGGTAAAGTATACGTACCTTTAAGCAAAACTTGTTTGTTTGTCTTTTGTTTGTTTGTCCTTTTTTTTCTTTTTTTTTTTTTGTTTTTTTACATTTAAGAATGTCACCCAGGACAATATGGTGCTGATTGTAAAGAATATTGTGGTGAATGCAAAGGTGAATGTCACCATGAAGACGGAAGGTGTTCAGACGGATGTAAGAGTGGTTACAGAGGACTTACGTGTAAAACAGGTACATCATTTCATTTGTATATCTTTTGATGATGTTGTCCCAGGATGAACAGCGGTGTATGTCATTCATTCCAATTAAATAGCTTGGTTGAATGCTTACAGATGTGAGTGGAATACATAACACATTAATTAAATACATGTACCTACATATTGTAATTGACTTCATCTTTCAAGGTTTTGGGTAATAATTTAGTAGTGTCATTTTACATATTTCAAATTTGAAGCTGTATTTTTTAATTTTGTATTCTAAATATATCAATACATGAAATTGTTATATTCGTATTAAATCCTTATATTTTGTATGATCATGAAAAAGAATATTTTATGCATAATCAGCAGTGAAATACTTTTTCCGTTTAATGATTTGCAAGTTTTACAAGTTCTTTTTTTTCACAATGACAAAAAGATGTTTGAAGCAAAAATGGCCTTATAATATATAAGAAGATCAGGAAAATATTTCTATACAGAATAAGTGTGAACAAAATCATTCTCGAAATTAAAAACAAATGTGAACGTTTTTTTTAATTTTTGCGTAAATCGATAAAGAAGTGACTTCCAGTATCTTTTCAGTTATTATGTCACGGCCCTGATTACATCACGAAGAGTTAAAAGGACAAAAAACCTCAGAACCCCAATTTTTTGTAGCTGGATAGAAATTTCATGAAACAACAACAAATGAAACATATAGAGATAACGAACAGTGTTCAAGATAAAAAGTCCATAAAACAATTCAAAATTGGAGCAAAGGTAAAACAGACTTACATCAGAGGTGGAATCAGGTACCATGGAGGAGTAATCATCCCCTACCAACCGATCTTTTTCACATTTAACCCATTTTGCACTTATTAGGAAAACAAATCATGTAGCAACTAGTTAATTTAATTTAAAAACTACAAAACATTGAATACTTATTACCACTTTGTCTTCAATTATTCATTTAGAGTGCAATCCAGGAACATATGGATCAAACTGTACAAGTGAATGTGGTGAATGTCTTGGACACTGTAATCCTGTAAACGGGCACTGTTTAAAAGGGTGCAATGCGGGATTTATAGGAATTAAGTGTAACAAAGGTTTGAGTATACGTTTAAACGTTTAAAAACAACATATATATATATAATAAATGATTTGAATGATATTCAAGTAAGGAATATTTTATTTTGACCATCTTCAGTTTGTTTCAACATATTTTTTTGACTAGGTGCAGACAGAAGTTTGTCTCCAAAATATTTTAAGAAAATTCTCTTTGGCCTTTAAACCTGATTTATTATACACCTGTAATCATATAACATACATAGGCAGACTTACAATATTGTTTATATCACTCTTTACAAAGGCATGACCTAACCTAATAACTTGAACTACATACTGTAGTATTTATTTCTAACTTTTAGAGTGTGCCTTTGGAAGGTATGGTGTGAATTGTAGTGGGCTATGTGGAGAATGTCTTGGGAAGTGTAACAATGTTGACGGTTGTGCTGGCAGATGTAAAGCTGGATACAACGGCGTTGATTGTCTAAAAGGTGGAAGAAATAAATAAATAAAAATATATAGGCACTATTAGGCAGACAGATAAATAAATGCATAGAGAGAGAGAGAGAGAGAGAGAGAGAGAGAGAAAGATGAATAGTAATCTGAAATATTTATCATATGATTTATGCATGGTCATGAAAACAAATTGTGAAAAATATTTTTCCCAATATTTTAACAGTATGTCAGTTTGGTTTTTTTGGAGTGAATTGTCAACATGAATGCAGTATGTTTTGTTCAACATCCAAAAACTGCAGCAGAATTAGTGGTTTTTGCCATGGGGGATGTAAACACGGATGGGAAGGCGTGGATTGTTTGGAAAGTAATACATACATGTCGTATATGTATATGTTGTGTACTTAGTCGATGAAATACTAATAAATTATATATTCCCGTAGAGATAATTTTTTTGAGGTCTGGGAAAAAATACTGATTATTTACTTTGGGGATTTGATTCCTTGGTTTGAGAATTGTTGAGTATGCATATTAAATTTTCGTAGTGGTCATGAATTCATCTCCACGACCGAAAACAACAAACATTTACCCCCCACATTAGTGAATTGATGGTTTCTTCATTTGAATATTAAAATTGATTATGTCACTGTAATTCATTTAGATTAACATTTGTCCTATTGATACATTTAGTACGAGACTATAAAGTAAGCAGAATTCTAGGATGGACAGAGACAGTGGCAGTTTTGTCTATCAGTTTGTCAGTAAATCTCTGCGTGTTGCTTGCCTACTGTAAAAGAAGGTAAGTATTCCAATTATTTACAGTTTCCAGAGTACTCTGTGTGAATGAGCTTTATCGATCTTATATTCAATCCTTTATGATGAGTATACAAGATTCGTAAAAAAATGATCTAAAATTGATTTGTATTAAGGTATGCTGGGCCTCAAAAGAGGAGAAAACTGAACATTAGCAGATATAATAGTTCCAGAAACTTCTTGTCTGAGGAGGCACAGACAGATCCAATTGGCCTTGATGATCAAGAATACGGTAGAAGAGAATACAATGAATTGCAGCTCCTCAACGGAGAAAATCATTATTGGAACATGTAGTTAAGCAGAAAATTTACACGGATTTTTTTTATTGATTTTTTTTATTCAATTGATGTGTATTTTAACCTTCATAAAGGTTGAACCTTTACATGCAGTAAAACTGTCTCACACATGTGATGTTATTCAGCATTTTAAAGATTTCTTCCCATTTTGATTGAATATTTTTCCGGTTTATCCAGACTGAATAATAGTATGCAATTCAATCAAATGTATTAAAATCATAAAAGTAAAAATCCTTTTTTCTTGATGTTGTTGTATGATTATTTGGATATATACTGAAAGGAAAAAGAAATGCAGGGTAAACTTTTGAGGTGAATTAAATTAATTTTTTTTCTTATTTTTTTTCAGTAATTCTTTTTTTTTATGTAAGTAATTGCAAGACATATACACCTCTCTCTTCCACTCTCATACCTGTTGGAAAAATACAGATACACACATTTATAAACATCTAGTACACATACTTAAGGATAGCTACACTTCAATATACGTAATAATATACATAAACATAAACTTGCGCAATATGCAATGCATATTCAATCAATAATTATATTAAGAGTTACTATTGGACACATTAAAAAATTTCCACTTGGACCATCTATTTTTGTAAAATATATTTCCTGACAATTTTTCTTCTAAATAATAGTAATTATTTAAATATTTTAAGATTTCATTAAAAACGATATTATTGTTCTTTCTTGATTGATGAAATAAGTATTTCTTCACTAATAGGATAATCAAATTAATTGCCATATGATCTTCTTCCAAATTACCCAAAATAACAGTTTTGACATGAAATACAATTCTTGTACCAGACTTTTGAAATATCCAATCTGACAATGCTAACCAAATCACAGATACCTGTGTACAGTAGAAAAATAAATGCTTGATTGATTCTGGTTCTAAGTTACATATTGAACAAAGTGGTGAATTTTTTTTTTTGACAGATATAGGTTCTTATTAGTACCTAATATTCTATGGATAATTCTATAATTGAACCACACAAGTCCTTAGGCTTTTGTTGTCAATTTAAAGTTTGCATAAACATGTTTAACTCTAATTTTAGATCAGGATCCCATTTGTATTCACAAATAGGTCTGTGCTTTGTTTTTGACATTAAATAATCATAAATATTTCTGGATCCTTTTCTGTTCTTACAAAGTATTTTTACAAATTCAGGTTGATATGGTTTAACCAAAGTATAATATAAATGTTGTTTGATATTAGGCCATGCAGTCAAAATGCTTTGTTTCAAACCTTCATATGTGGTAAAAGGAAATTTTACAAAATAATCATTTATGATACTTTCATAACTAATAAAATTGCCTTCTGTATTGAATAAATCATGCACTATATGGAACCCTTTATCGAACATTGGTTTACAAAATACATATTTATTTTGAATCTTTATTTTATCATTATACCACAGTGGCTCACTCAGTGAATGTAAATTAAAACTCTTTAGGTTTTGGAAGGGAAGTAAATAAATGAGTGAACTTTGATAGGAACAAACTTTTTACTACTGTTATTTTCCCAAAAGGGGTAATATTTCTCTTTGACCAATGGTTTATTTCTTTTTGAATAAGTTTAAACTTCTTGTCAAAGTTAAGTTCCTCCATTTTTTTTTTTAGATTTGCTGTGTATATTATACCAAGAACAGTAAAAGGTTCGGTTGTCCATTTTAATCCTGTATCAGTACAAATTGTATTTTCTGTGTCAAATTTAGAACCAATCCAAACTGCTTTTGTTTTAGAAATGTTAGGTTTTAAACCCGAAAATTTTGAAAATTGAAAAAGAAGATCCAGAGCGCTTTTTAGACTCTTTTCTGTTCCATCAAGAAAAAGAACTGTGTCATCTGCATATTGTATAAGACAAACCTTTTCCTTCCCTATTTTAATGCCTTTTATATTTCTATTTTGTCGAATCATGTGTCCTAAAATTTCTACACAAAGATTAAAGAGGTAAGGAGATACCGGGTCACCTTGATGACAACCCCTAACAATTTCAAAACATTTTGAAAAAATACCATTCTGAATGACACAAAGATTAGCATTATTATATAATACTGAAACCTATTTTATAAGATCAGGACCAAAATTAAAGTATTTCAAAGTATTATACATAAATTTCCATGATATAGAGTCAAATGCTTTTTCGAAGTCAATAAGTAATATCATACCAGGAATATGTTTTTCATGTACCATATTTATTACATCATAGATTATTCGTGTATTCTCTCCAATAAATCTACCTTTGAGGAATCCTTTTTGGTTTTTATTGATTACACAGTCAAGAACCTTTTTAAGTCTATTTGCAATGCACGCAGATGCAATTTTATATGTTACATTAAGAGGAGATATTGGACGCCAATTACTAAGAAATTCTCTAGGTTTATCTCCTTTTGGTAAAATTGATATAATACCTTGTTTCTGGGTTATTGATAGCTCTCCTTTTTGAAAACCTAAATTTATTGATCTTCTTAAAAAACTTCCTAAATCCTTCCAGAAAAATTTGAAAAATTCTGTAGTGAAACCATCACTGCCTGGGCTTTTATCATTTTTCATATCTTTTAAAGCAGAGAGGGCTTCCTCTTGAGTTATGATACCTTCCAAGCTATTAGACAAATGTTCATCCAAAATAAATATATCTTCTTTATTTATAATTTTTTCTAAGTTTACATCAGTTAGCTTGTTGTCACAACAGGAATATAAGTTTTTATAAAAACTTTCAATTTCTGTGAGCTTTTCACCTTGGGAAATAATAGTGTTACCATTGCTTTGAATGATTTTGCTTATAGTTTTATAAACATAGTTTCTTTTTTCCAAACTAAGGAATTATTTTGTAGGTTTTTCTCCCTGTTCAGTCCATTTTAATTTAGTTCTAACAAATAATCCTTTAATATAGTCTTTTCGAAATTCTTCAAGCCTGTTTTGAGCTCTATTTAATCTTTCGACAATGTCATGTGACTCATTATTACTTCTTAAGGATTCTAAAAACCTAATTTCTTCTTCGATAGATTTAATAGTTTTATTTTTTATGTCTTTTTTTTTCGAGAGCAGTAACATATTGTTGCACCTCTTATGCATAACAATAACTGTTCAAAAAATAGTTGATCGTCAATACAAATACACAATTCTCTGTCGTCCACTAAACTAACAGTGGAGGGGTTGTAAGAAGAGGCAGCATATTGTAACTTTACTTTTTGAATTGTTTCCTTAACACAATTAGTATAAAGCTGGTCTTTTAGAAGAGAGTTATTGAATTTTCAAAAATCTTTTCCCTTTCAAAATTATTGAATTTGATGTAGAGTTCAATTAATGAGCGGTCAGACCTATATCCTGGCTTAATATCAACCTTATCAACTAAAGCCATCAATTCATTAGAAACTAAGAAAAAGTCAAGTCGGGCTTTTTTTGTAGGATTGTTCTTAAACCATGTGTACTTTTTTCTCTGTTCATGTTTAACCCTCCCATAAAGACCTAATATCATTGTAATCATTCATAGTAAAATGCGTGTCTTGTAGAAGGTAAACAGAAAAATGTTTTTGTTTCATGTAGTTAAGCACATCTCTCCTTTTTTCTAATCCCCCAAGACCTCGACAGTTTAAAGACATGACATTAAAGCTTATAGAAGAATAAGTAATATGGAGTAAATAAACAATGTTTTTTTCAGTAAATATACACCCAGAGTGTATTGTGCAGACAATGGGAAGTATACGTAAAAAATTGCAAAATAAATAACCTTGACTTAGTGCATGCACGTTGGTGTGCATATAAATTGTGATACTATTTCTACCCCAACAAAATTCACTCATACATCTTTCACACACTGACATAGACAAACACAAATACACGAAAAAATAAAGAAATGTAATTCCTGTAGACACCTGAGTGGCTCATTAATAGCACATTTTATTTTCGTTTACCCGGCTACTATGTCACTCATCACCGGAAGTGTTCATGGCCGTTTAAATTGCAAGGAATTCCGAACGGAGTCACTTTTTCCGAATCCTTTCGTCAATGGAGTCAAAAATATCAAACTTGATTCTGCGTTTCCCGTATTGTCCATATACTGCTCCGTTGAAATACCCAGCGGAGTCGATTCTAGGGTCGTCACTGAGTTTGGATATCAACATAGCGTTGTCCCGTGTCACGTCGTCTGCGACTCTCCACCCCTGTTTCAGCTCTTTTATGTCGACTCTCTTTCTCATTATAGTCGCTTTAGCATCAGGGCTGCGCAATTTGACAATTATTGGTTGGGGCTGGTCCTTTTGTCCGGATGGAATTCGGTGCATCGCTATCACATCAGTTTCGGATATAGCCACACCCACTTCCCCTAAGGCCTCGTTAATCTTTTCTAATAAGCCTGGGGAAACCCATGAAACTTAGTATTTGTTTTTTTTGGAATACTGTTCATTAAAATTTGCTTTTGCGGCAGCGCTTTTAGATAACTTCTGTACTTCCCCCACTCTATTGTACACATCGTTTAGAGCGTCATTGTTTTCATTTAGCTCCCTCTTAAGCTCCGAATTTTCTTTTTTTAAATGTTCAATATCAGTATCAATTTTTCAGTAATTCTATCTAACTTTTAAAATCATCTTTGAAGAAAATGTTAACAAAATCTTAAAAGTCCCATTTGATTTTGTCTGATGATTGATGAGTTATTGAAACTCATTCGACGATACCCCAATAGTGAAAAATCGAAAACTCGTATTATCTTCAATGTCTCCCCCGTGCATCTGTCTCAGTCTTGATTCTGCTGTGCTTGGAATTCATGTGAATGTATTTTTTTCAACCCTGGCTATATTGGGCATGGATAACCACGCCGGAAAATTAGTCAAACGACGCGCGCATGCGCCAGTGAGGGAACACAAACGTAAAGTTGACCGGCTCAAAAACCCAAATTGCTCAATTGTTTTTTTCAGTTTGGGGTGAATGTAATAATTATGATAATATACTGTATTAAAAGCGGTTTATGTGGTTATAAGGTTGCAATTAAACAGGT